GCAGAGAGTCAGCTACCACACCATCAACCCCAGTAAGAGTGTGCTACCCTGTCAGTTAGCAAGCCTTACTCCTTTTTTGTCCTCATAAGGTTTTCGCTCCCCCTCCACCCTTCCCCACCCCACAGCCCCTGAGTAAGCCGATAAAGCATCTTCCAACACCCCTCTTCTGGCTGATTGTGCACAGCCACACAAACTTTGTCCCAGAGAGCCTGCATAGACACCCTCCTCCCCCGAATTGAACCAGTTCTCCAGGGCTGTTCTGGGCATGTGTATTTGCCTGCACACTCACTGCAGAACAAAGCCTTATACTGCACCTACAAGACCCAGATAAGCCCTCCCTCTAGCCCAGTCGGGCACAGACAGGCAAGCAAAATACTCACACGAAAAAAAAAAAAAAACAAAAACAAATCTTCAAGAGACAAAGTCCTGTGTCCTGTGGCACTGAGGGAGCCAGGAAGGCCCCAGAAGTCCCAGAGGCAGTGGGGGTGCTGGGATGGCCTTCCTGACAAGTCAGGCATCTGGGGTCTTTAGCCTTACACCAGGGGTGTCATGAGGAATGGAATGGGGGGGGCAGGGGGCATGGCAGGGCTGGGCTGTCATGACGGGGTTGTTCTCCTTCCGTCCTGTGTCTTGGGGCTCAAACCTGGATTCCAGGCCCAGTGATGCCACCTTGCACCGCTCACTGGCCTTCAGGGCTCTCTTGAGATTGTGCTCACACTTGCCTCCCAAGGCAGGCCTCCATCTGCTTCGAAGGGCTAACTTCTCTCACAGAAAAGTGAGGACTCTATGACCTTGGATATGATACGAAATTCACAGACAAGATTTTTTGGGGAAATCATTAAATAACTTGGACAACATCAAACACTTCTGTTTAACAGAGAACATAACCAAAGCAGTGAGAAAGCCTACGAAGTAGAAAAGGATAAAGGCCGGCGTACTCCAGGTAGGGATTAATATTCGGAGTGTAGAAAGAACCAAAGAAAACACTGGGCTCCAACTCACAGACAGGCCAAGGACTGAACCGCCATTCCCCAATGATACATGAATGGTCAGTAAGCCTGTGAGGTGCTCACTATCACTAGCTGGGAGGGAAATGCATGCCCAAACCACAGAGAGAGGGCTTCACACACTCCAGGAAGGCCAACGCCCCACACAGAAAAACAACAGCAGAAGGTCAGTCATCAAGGAAGAAGGAATGACAAATGTTGGCTAGAAAGTGAACGTAGTAAGCCAGGCGGCCACTGTAGAATCAACACGCGCCCCTCAAAACTACGCATAGGTCTTCTCGATGACTGCGGTTAGGGCCCTTCGGTGCCTACCCAAAGGCTCCAGGTCAACACTTCCCGAGATGCCTGCATGCCAGCTCAGCCCAGGGAGCGACCCAGGCGCCTGGGAACAGAGAAATGGACAAAGACAATGCAGTGCTCACAGCGGCACCTTCCAGCCTCAGTGAGAAATGATGTCCTGTTGTTTTCGGGGAGAGGGATGATGCTGGAGACAGCCCTAAGCAAAGGAAGGCCGGCTCGGAAGATGACTGTTTTCTCTCATCTGTGGCTCCCTGGTTTTACACACACACACAAAATCGCACATGTGTCACATGAAGGCAGATATGAAACTGTCTAAAGGAATAGACAAGACTAATGGCAGGGGAAGGGGAGAGGAAAGAGGGTACGAGGGCAAGGGAGAATTTGCTCAATATAAAAAAATATATTTATCAAATATAAAACTTGAAAGGAAATGCATTAAAAATGACAGGACCCAGCAAAGGCTTAGCACACAGCACATGGGACAATTGGAGCCCTGCGCATGCGGACAGCACAGCCAGGGTGGGTCAGTGTAGACCTGGCACCTGACCCTACACACACACCCGAGACAGCTCCAAATGGGGGTTCCCACAGGCCTTGCACACCCAGGGAGGAAAACACCTGTGCCTGTTGGCAGGTGAGGATGTTCTTGCTCCGTAGCTGACTACGGTCAGGCGGGTGAGGACCCTGTGGCTGCAGAGCCGGTGAGCATGGAGACAGGAGCTGAGTCTGGGCCTCACACCCAGTGCCCACACCCACTCTGACTGTGGGGTCCCAGAGCACAGCAGTCCGAGCTTGAAGTAGCGAGAGCCTGCTCTGGTATATTCCGCACGGAGACCTGGCTGCTGGTCCCTCCCTCCGCAAAGCAGATTTGTGCCTCACCTGGAGGCCAAGGACCCCTCTCCTCCCCAACTCCTGCTAGGAGTGTTGCCCAAGCCTTGCAGTCCTGTGTGAGCACGTGTGCATATGTGTGTGCAAGCTGGTCCTGCCTGAGTGATCCTCCATGCCGGAGCTCTCTAGGTGCTGGCGCCGTGGCAGCTCAGCTGGGGGAGCTTGTGCCGTCGTCCACACCTTCCGACCACTGGAAGGAAGTGGGAGGAAGCCCTGGCTTCTGAGGGTGTGAGGGCTGAGCACCTAGAACGCACACAGGCAACAAGCAGCATGGCTGGCCACACACACCTGGCCACGTAAGAACCAAACCCATCAGAGGGAGAGGCCAAGCGACCCTTCGGCGCTGTGGCAGGCGTGCGACCGTGATCTCCGGGGCAGCCGCCCGAGTGGAGTGCGGCCCCTCCAGAGCGGCCTGTTTGCTTTGTTTCCACGTGCATCGTCCATTGTGTGCTTGCTAACAAGCCAGGCAGCGTGGAAAGACGTCGGTTATTCCCGCTCCATTCTTGCCTTGTGCTCGGCTGAGGGCCTTAATCCCTGAAAGGCGCATGAATGGAGCCCCTGGGGCAGCTGGACGCTGGGGACAGGGCCACACGGCCAGCTTTGCAAAGGCTTTCTTTGCTCCCCTGCAATTCATCGCTTCTAAGAAAGGGAGCTTTTAAGAAAGGCCGCACAGCCAGGTCTCTGGGCCTCTGCGCATTTGGTCGGCAGCCCGGGCCTCCAGACTCTCCAGCCAGACAAAGGCACCCCAGCCGAGGGACAAAACCCAGTGGCCACTAGGGGGTGGCGGCCCGGGAAAGGCCCACCTCGGTCTGGAGGGGCCGCCTGCCCTGTGATCTCTCCAGCGACCCCAGCGGGCCCAGGTCAGGGGATTTCACACTGCAGACCCCTGGGAAGGAGAGCAGGTCGGCACTGGAAAGAGGGTGAGGGATTCCAGAGGGCAGGGCTCCTGCTGGCTCTCCAGTTCCACACAGATGGGCCTGCATTGTGAGCACCAAGCCACACTTCAAATGGAATCTGACGTTGCATGGTAGAAGGGAATGCCTACCAGTGGCAGGCGGGAGCCGAAGGGGACAGTTGGCCCACCCCCTGGGCCCGGCCGGCCGGCCGCCCTTGCTTGTGTCTCTAGGAGTCACTCAAAACCCACAGCCGGACCACACCAACCCGATGCCTCTGCTGGGCCCAACCCTGGCTGGTGCCTTTGGGGATCCCCCATTGGGTTTGGCCTCTCCTCACATGAAGTAAATGTTTGCCAAAACGTGTTTTAAAGCACACTGTAGACACAGCCGTGAAAGAAGACATCTAGCTAACTCAGTCTGTATCATTCCGAGGGGATTCTGGTTTGACAGGAGGAAAATATTCTGTTGGCGGGAGCTAGGAGAGGAAGAGCAAGGAGGGAAGAAGCCTGAGCCGCCCTGATGGCGGCTGGCACCAGTAAGGGCACGTTTGCTAGCAAAGGCCGATTAAAGGGAGTGCGGGCAGCATTCGTGGGTGAGCAGAAAGAGAAAGCGTTGAGAACCTAGAGGTGTGCCTCGTGCCCTGCCCACAGCGTTGCTGAAGCAGTGAGCGTCTGTGTCGGCCTGTGTCCCTGTCCCTCCCTGCACGCGGCTAAGCAGGGGTGCCGCTGGGGCTCAGAGAACAGTACCAGAGGGCATGCCTGCAGCCTCGGGGGTCCCGGCGACAAGGTCACCCAGAGCCTCAGGTCTGTGTGAACCACGGCCTTAGCACCTCCCGTGGGCTTGGGGCCTGTGCCCCCTCTGCCATCTCCTGCCCTCTCTTCTCTGTCTCTCTCTTTCTCTCCCTATTTCTGTCTCTCTGTCTCTCTCCATCTCTCTGTCTCTTTCTCTGTCTGTCTGTCTGTCTGTGTCTCTGTCTCTCTCTGTCTCTCATTCCCCTTTCTTCCTTCCCTCCTCCCTTCTTTCCTTCCTTCCTTCTTTCTTCTCTCCCTCTCTCTTCTCTCCCCTCCTTCCTTCCCTCCCTCCTTCCCTTCCTTCCTGCCATCCTTTCCTCTCTTCCTCTTTCCTTCCCTCCCTCCCTTCCTTCCTCTCTCCTTCTCTCTCCTCTCATCCTCTGCCCCCCCTTCCTTTCCTTTTCCTTCTCCCCAGGGGAAAATATACTCAGGCAGGCTAGCGTTCCTGTGAACGGCGCAAAAATCCACCTCCAGCATGGGGATGTGTCATGGCGGCCAGGCAAGCATGTAGCATGACGTGGGAAGGGTGCCCCACTCCAGGCAGCGCTGTGTGCATGGGGGTTCACACCCTTCACAGCCGAGGGAGAGCGTAAAGTGCCCCGGCTCTGTGCATCCCGCTCGGGGAGCAGCACCCCAGGGTGACGGCACCGGCTCCGTCACACTCACCCTGGCCTCCTTTCCTGTACGGTCTGGATTCCATGGGACAAGCGCTCTGTCCTTACACACACAGTCTTAGCGGGTGGCACAGCTCAAAGCCTGGCACACACAGGGACACGATGCACGTGAGTGTTAAGGAGGGTGTTTCAGGGCTTGTGTTCGGCCAGGATGTGCTCAGTAGCAGAGTGCTTACCTCGCTCATGTAAAGCTGGGTTCAAGACCAGTACATCCCCCCCCCACATATATGCACAGGTACATACATACACACCACACATACACAGGAACACACACACACATACATGCCACCTACATACATATTCATACTCACAAGTGCACACACAACTTACACACCACACCACACACACAAGGTACGCATGCGCGCGCACACACACACACACACACACACACACACACGCTTGTGCAGACAGTGGTGCTCCCGTGAGCAACGCCCCGTGTCTCACCTTTGGCCATCTTGTTGAGAACCATGTCAATCAGGACGTAGGTTCCGCTCCTGCCCGCGCCATCACTGTCAACAGAAGGAGACAGAGTGAAAGGACGCCCAACTGAATGAGCACGCTCAGCCAGGCCAGTGGCCGAGGCTTCCTCATCGTCATGTGGGGCTGGGAGAGCAAGGGTGTGTGTGCTAGAGGGAGGGAAGGACGGAGGGAGGGCAAGGCCACACACACACACACACACACACACACACACACACACACACACACACTCACTCAGGAAGAAGGGCCTCACTCTCTGGCCGCCCTCCTCTCTCCAGGGATTCTTGTCTCAGAATGCCGTTTCTCCCTGCCCAGCCTTCACAGGGAGGTGTGCTCAGTTTTGTCACAGGGAAAGACACGCCTGCCGGTGCCAGAGGTGCACCAGGGCGTTTGCCGTGACAGTCCCCACGGTCGGGACGGCAGGGCAGCAGACGGCCACATGGAGAACTTTGTGCAAGGCCGGGACACCCACCCACTCGAGGCAGATGGCTGGCTGGCGTTTCAGGGCCTCCGCCTTCGGGGCCACTGTCCGCTTGCCGGAGCACCGGAGCAGCACTCTCGGGCTGAACCACGTCTCTGCAGCGTGCAAAGGCAGAGTCCTTTCTGTGGGAGCAGCGGGGCCTTCTCATGAGCCCGTCTCCCCTGTGTGGACACCGAGTCTTGTGGGTTTCACCCTGCTCCTCCATCGAGTGGGCTTGTTCTCACGGCCCTGGCCTCTCCTGAAGACACGTTCAGCTTCACAGGGCAGCTCTGCCCGTGCACAGCCCCACCCCCAATGCTGGAGCTGTCGAGATGGGCACTGAGCTGGACTCTCACTTGCACTCGGGTGCCATGCTGTGGCAGGGACTGCTGCTGGCATCCTGGAGCCTGCCCTGGCTCACCTCCGTGTGTAGCGCACACTCAGAACATTTTAAGAAACACTACAAAACTCTTCAAATAAACTGTCCCTCATCTTGGTACGCTCTTGGGAAAGACCCTTTGCTCTGCTTTGTGAGACACAAAACCTCAGGCAGAAGTATTTGCCCAGAGTTTGCACAGATGCATGAGTGTGCACACACACACAGGTGCACACAAATGCACACACGCACACACACTTGAAGCTTAATTCATTCAGACCTCTTCATTCCGGGCAGAAAGGTGCATCTTCGAGACAGCTCTGGAAGAGCACAGTGAGACTGCTTCAGCAGGATGGAGGGTGGACGAGCTGAGGCCAGAGTCTGGTGGACACGGACCTCGGGTCTGAATACCTTGCCCTCCCGCTGGTGTGGCTTTGGCTGCAGAGAGCAGAGCGGCAGTGGCAGCCAGGCCCTGTCTTTGCACACTGTCCCCAACCTGTCTCCAGGCACTTTTCCTCTTGTTACTGGGACAGAACCACACACCTGAGCCTGCTGTCCCCAAGTGTCTGTGGCACCAGAAGGTGTTCGTGTGTGGGCACTTAGAGACGGGAGGAGGTATGGGACCAGTTAGTGCCTGGACGCTGGCCAACGCCAGCTTCCTCTAGCCAAACAGAACGGGAAGCCCGGGCTGTACTTAGGGTTCCTTAGTGACAGCTACACGCGTTCTCCAGCAGCCAGCAAGCTCGGCCTGCGCCGCGTCAGGAGCTAAACCTAACACTCAGTCCACGGTAGAAGTCATACTTGCCTGCAGTGAACGATTATCGGGCACGAGCGGCCTCGGTAGCACTTGTTAACTTTCCTGAAACAGAGAGATAAAACGTACAGCGTCATGCCGGGACTGTCACCCAGAACACCGACAAGCCCGCACCAGGCAGGAGACACCCACAGGCCACACAAGTCTCGTCGCCTTTGCCACAGCCCATCGGACACAGCGAGGATTTAAGTGTCTAACTCAGTGAGGTTCTTGTTCAACGGGAACTCAGGAAACAAGCTTTAAAAATCCTTCTTACACACCCACAGTGAGTGCTTTTCCTCCCCTTCCAAGTGTGGCACTGCGTGGTTCTCCAGGGCCATGACTCCTGCAGAGAACTCTGGGTTTTGTCCCTGTGCTCTGAATCTCCTATAGTCTGTTCATCACAGGGAGATACAACGTCATTCTGTCTAAAAGCCATGTCCTCAAGGCCCTGTCTCAGCTGCCAGCTGGGGGTAAAGGCGTGAAAATATTGGTGGACATTCCAGGGAGGTCAAGATGGTCCTCTCTGCTTCTCCAAGTTGGGGCTTTTAGAAAACCGTCCCTGTGTGCAGGCCCTGAGCATCGCACCTGAGACAGTCAAGGCCTGGACCAAACCACATCCCAACCGGGGAGCTACTTTCATTTCACAGGATGAGCCCCAAGGCTTATTTTTTTATGCTCAGTGAAACAACTAAACAAGAGTTCAAAGCACATCGATGTTCCTGGTAAAATAGTCTCACGGGGAGGAGCAGAGACTCCTCAGGGTCTGAGTTTGCTTTAAGGGGAAAGGTTGCTAAGTGTGTGTTCTCGAATGTGCTGCGCCACCTCTGGCAATGAGGCTCCAATTAAGGAGAAGAAAAGACAATAGAAAAAAGGTTCTTTTTGAACAGGAAATGGAGACTTGTCAGGTCCTCTTGCCTCCAAAGCGCTGTGGCCGAGAGTGGAGAGGGGACTCAGCCAGCGGCAGCAGCTCACCCGCAGCCGTACCCTGTGCAGGGAACCCGGGGTCAGGCCGCCCCAGAGCAGGAGGCCTTTCTCTTTTTCACTTCCACTGCAGTGTCACTAGACTTGGGTACTCCTGACAGAAGCCTGACTTCTCCCTCCCCCACAGCGGAGGAGGCGTCCTCAGAACCCTTAGGGTGAGAGCCTTTTGTGGCCATGAGTGTGAGGTAAGAAACGAGAGGCACATTCCCTAGGCAACAGCAGCCAACCCACGTGCCAGGACCCCTGACAAAGGTGGGTCTGGGAGGAGAGCCAGGTTAGAACGCAGACCCACTTGCCTGTCCTGCTAAGGTTTCCCTGTTGGGCTAGACCTGACACACAGAGGCACTACAGCCAGAGCATGGAGCTGACTCAGCTGAGCCTATGCACTGAACTGTGGCGGAGATGGAACCCTGGCCTGGCAGCCATGAGAGTCTGGAAGCCCGGGCCCTGGCCCACTGGGTGGCTTTCCTCTCAGAGCTCCTTCTGCAGTTTCACTGCTAACAGGAACAGCCCCAGCCCCAAGCCTTGACACCCCATCACATACATGCTTGGCTCCTGTGGGCTGGAAGTGAATGCTGGAGGATGGCCAGCCCCAGATCTACTCTCACTGCTTTCCCGATGGATCGGGCTTAGAGGAGTCACCCTGAGAAACGCCACAAGCCGCCTGTCAGGCCACGGCCTGCTAATGTCTTGGTGCCCCTTGGCCAGGTGTGCCCATGACCTAGATGGGACGTCTCCACCCCGTGGCCATCTCCCTCCACAGGACACTCCAGGCGTGCTCCAGACTGCTGCCTCGGGAGGCCTTTGAGAGATGTGCACTGTGATTTTCACACCCACACCAGACCCGCCCTGTGTCGGCCGTTTTCACACCCCCGGCCAGGTAGGCGATATGGTGGGAATGCTGTGGCCGTGTAGCTGAGAACTTTATTAGCAAAGAACCATGGGTTATCGCGGCATGAGATACCGCAGATAGAAAGCAAACGTCACACGTGGAGCCAGTGTGTTCTCCGAGGACCTGAGACGAAGGCGCCGCTAATTCCTGAAGATGAGCGACGCACACTCGTCTCACTTTGCTCTCACACAGATCACGGTAAGCGAGGTCTCCAGACTGAGCAGAAATGAATCTATGTGGACTTTGGCAGGAGGATCTCCCCGAGAAGGAACAGTTAGCAATACAAACCAACCCTCGGTCACTGAGTGAGAAGGAGTCGCCATGCAAACGAACAGCAAGCAAAGTCGGGTCGGGTCGTTAGAGGCTCAGAGAGGGGCCCCCGTGTCCCTGCAGCAGTCACAGTTTCCAATGATCACTTTTGTGACTATGCAACTGGGCTCATATTACTAGCTGCAACGTCACAAAAATGACACTGGCCACCGCTAGGTAGCTGGCAAAGTGAGGGCTGGCCGGGTTGACAGTGCAGCGTTAGTGGATGCGTGGAACACAGCAAGGAGAGCAGGGAGGGAGGGAGGGAGGGAGGGAGGAGGGAAGAGGGAGGGAGGAGACATTGAGAGAGGCAGAGAGAGAGAGGGGGGGAGGACATGAGACAGGGGAGAAGAGAGGGTTGCAGAGCCAAGCCCTCACGTGTGACTCTAATTATCTCTTAGCAGTTTCTCTTTAAAGTGTAAATGTGAGCCCCCTGGGCTCCAGAAACAGTTAATTACATATCTTGGGTGCCTGACACACACCTCAGGCTTGCTGAGAACACTAGGATAGTGTTGCAAGACTAGAGCCCCCTCCTCTGAACAAGGTGGGATCCACAGAGGGGGCTTCCTGCCCACCAGGCTGCGGGCACTGCCGCTGAGGCAGGGGATCCTGAGTGTGCGGTCATTTGTGCCAGCTGTCCAGGATTGTGTGAAAGGGTCCTGTGCAGACTGGAGAGCAGAGCTTTCTGCCTCACCGAAGCCTCAACCCTGGGCTGAGAGCCTGTAATGACATAACAGAAACTGTGGGTTGTGTCTCCTCAGACTCTGGAGTTGGGGAGACCTGGGGATCCTGATTTTCTCCATGGTGTGTCGGGAGCCTTGAGGGCTGGGTATGGGCGCATTCCTTCCATATATGAACATAGACATGGGACCACACATACATGTGCAAACCCCTGGGATGAGCTTGGAGACGGGTAGTGAGAGAAACAGCCATCTTACATTGCTGCGTCTGCTTTGCCAGTCCTGAGCAATAGGTCCCTCTGTGTGGCTTTGGGGGGGGTCTGGACTGGGAAGGGTCTAGTGGCCAGGAAATTGGGGTGGGAAGGAAGGAGCTGTGGACAGCGGCTGTTTCAGGACAGTCTCAGGTTTCAGAAAGCACCTAAAGGGAGGGGACAGCTGGGCCAGAGCCACTGGCCTTGACACCAAATTCCTGTCCTTCCTCAAACTCACTCATGGAATTCCTTTCCAAAGAACAATTCATTCAGACAAAGAAATTGTATTCCTAGCACTTGGAAGGCAGAGGCAGGCAGATCTTCATGATTCCGAGGCCAGCCTGACTAACATAGTTCCAGGACAGCCAGGGGCCACATAGGGACACCCTATCTGAGTTTAATTTTCAAAGTGGACCAGAAGGCAAAAGATGTAAGCTTCAGAATTCGTAATATGCAAATTCAAGCAGCCCAGGTCAGTCTTGCACCGTTTTTGTCTCAACACTCTCCTCTTCCACCTTCTTCCCACTGCAGACTCGAGGACAAAGAACTGTTTTCTATGCCATGTTGGTGTTACAACACTCAGAGAAACACTGTGGCCTGAGTCCTTGTCTGGGAATCTGCCGGGCACGTGGGCCTGCAGTCAGTATCAGTGGAACACAGGCCTTGACACTGACATGCACAGATGGCTGAGTGCTCACAAGCACTTCCGGTGGCACTAACCTGTCCCCACTCTGATGTGCAAACATCATGCCTACCTCACGTTTTGCTTTGTTTTACACTGTCAGTGCGTTCCCATAAGAATGTCTAAGGTTCATCTCAACAGCTCAGTAAAGACACTTTGAGAGGAGACTTTTCTCTTTTTTTGGCTGTCTGGCTGACTAAAGCAACAAGCAAGAATAAAGCACATTAGAAGGAGGCTCACTTCGAACAGGGTACTAAACACACACACGCATGCACTTGCTATGTTTAGGCTTTTACCCAAGACTGTCTGTTCTAGAGACTGGCCTTTCCCTGACGGAATTCGCTAGCCCGGCTGGCAGGTGAAGCAGCCAGACTGAAAACCTGGCTTTAGGAAACTGTATGGAATATAAGTCTCAGGTGGGTTCCGGAGTCTTATGGGTTATGGCCTCTCCTCCAGCGGGCTCCAATGCCTGTCCTCTCCCTGTCAACACCACTAGTGCTGGAAAACAGCTCACCCTGAGCGCCTCCTCCACTCTGCCCTCTCCTTTCTCTTCCTGCCCAGCGGTTGCACTGAGGAGTGCGTTCAGAACCGAGAGACCAGGCCCGAGCTGCGTGCCTCGTTCGCCAAGCACACTCTAACCCATCATTTTGCAGCATGCTCTTTGCTTTACCTTCGGAAATCCAGGAGTGACCGCGTGGAGGAAGGGACTCCCTGGTCATACCAACTCAGGAAGTGGAACTGGGTCACCGTGCGAGTCTCGTTGCTTTGCAGGTTCTTCAGGTAAAAGCTTCTCACCAGGAAATCCTGGCACCATATGTGCTCAGAGACTAGGTTGACCTGGTGGGGACAGACCGGCAAAGCACGTGAGTCCAAGACTATGGAATGCGGTGGTGCGCTTGGGGAGAGAGGGACTAGGGTGAGCAGAGAGAAGGTGAGGTGGGGCCAGCCTCAGTGTTAACTGGGACCTGCTAGACATCAGGTGACACTGAGGGGACCCTATCTCGCCCTAGGTCCGAGACGGTGGCTTCCTAGTCATACGATGTCAGGGCTCCTGTGAAACCCCACGTGAGCCTTTGGTATCTAACTGTATGCACAAACAACCCAAGACTACATTCTAGTCTCAGCTTAAGCACCACAGTTACCGTCTTCCTGTAGTGTGTACGGGAAACCCAGCAAGGAAAATCTGCCCCTCATGAAACCGTCAACTACTTTAGAGCCCATGGCTCGGGCAAAAGCCCACCAGCCTGTGGGGCGCGGGCAGCATTCTCTGTGAAAACGGACCTTGCTTTCGGATGCTCGTTACTTGGGACCTGGCACCGCTGCACCATGGGGGCTTTTTCTTCCTGACAGCCTTTAGATATACACAGCTGTGTCAGCCCACATTCACGCCTGAGCTCAGCCCTAACTCTGTACGTGCAAGGCAGTGGGCTCCCTGGCTGCACCTGGATCCCTCTGAAATCAATGGTGACAGCCCCCCCAAAGGGCAACGGGCTAGATGTGGTCAGGGCTAGAGACTCGTGCTGGTTGCCAGGCCGCTGCCGAGGCGCCCGGTCCCGGTACCTCGTAGACATGGTGGAGGCTGGAGCCTTCGTCAGGCCAGTAGGGGTGGCACTGCCGCACGCCGTTCTCAGACAGGGGTGTCAGCATGACGATGACCGCACAGCCGCTCTCCCAGACCATCTGCAGGAGACACAGAGCGTGCTCACGACCACACACAGCCCCCTTAGCCCTCCTCGGATCCCGAGCGCTGCAGCTGCTTCCCCCCCCACCCCCGGACGCACTGGCCCCAAGCTCTGCAGGTTCCAGGAGACATTAACAACAAACAAGCAAACAAGCAGACAAACACTGTCAGCCCAGCCACTCCTCGGCTGCTTATTGGCTTGGTCACACTGTGTGTTTCTGGCTGGCTTGGCTCTCACTATGTAGGCCACTGATGTTGAAATCACAAAGACCCAACAGCCTCTGCCTCCTCAGGGTTAGGATTAGAGGCCTGTGTCTGCACACCCCAAGACTCTTTGGTCCAGAAAAGAAACTTCCTAGAATATAGCGCAAAGCTGACTGGCTGGGTGAGCCTGGTGAAAACATCCTGTTCTGGAGCAGACTAACGGCAGTTGCCACTGGGTTCATTTGTTCGTTTGTTCATCTGTTTGATGGTTCTCTTGGTCCACAGGGTTACCGGGGAGCAGGCTGCCCTCCTGTGGGAGCGGGCTCTGAGAACGCCTCTTTTCACGGAGCAGGACAGAGCCCGCTCCCAAACCCTGGGAAAACAATCCAGAACTTAGTGGCTAACTTAGAGGAGCCCCATGAAATCTCTCTAAGCCACATAAAGACGCAAAACCGCGTGTGCCCTGCCGGGAGCTCCCTCGGCCGCCACCCTCCTAAACAGAGCCTGTCACTCTGAGGTGCCACCTTTGCAGCAGGCACCGCGGGTGGCTTACGAGGCTGTTACTCAGGCGGGGCCGCTGGAGACTGTGGTCAGCACAGTATGGTCACCCGGAGAGCACTCTGATTTCCCTGCCGGGCCCTGACCCACTTCAGAACTATCTACAAGCAACTGTGTTAACATGTAAAATTGGTATCTAAGTCAGCACCCACTTCTTTGAAATGCAGATGTAAAAATCTGATTAAGAGAAACCAGAGCTAGGGTCAAACAGAAGGGGAGGAAGGCCTCACCTATCAGTGGACTAGGGGATGGGCACAGGAGGAGAAGAGGGAGGAGGATGGGATTGGAAGGAGACAGGGAGGGGCCACAGCCAGGATACAAAGTGAATAAATTGTAATAAATGATAATAATAAAAAAATCCGATTAAGATCTTGTTATTTAAGGGACACGGGGACATCACACAGAAAATGCTTTCTCATCACTGGTCATGTTATTAAATTCCCCCATTAAATTACATCTTAAAAGTCAGGCGTGCACAATGTTTTTCTCCTTCCACATTGATTTATGTCCCTGCGGGATGGAAGCGGTCAATACTCTCAGGGCATCTCCCTGTCATCACTTAGATTGGAATTTAATGGAAACCTCCTGAAGTATTTACGAAAAAGCCCGAAAAGAAGTATGAATCACCCCCCAGCCCGCACACTCCTTTTTGCCTCAGTGCTGGGCCTGTGAGATGGAAATCTGAGCCTGTTTCATACTGTGCGCCTTCCTACCTCTCCTCTGAATCAGGACACCCATCACGAACGATTTACTGTGCCTTTGCAAAGTGGCGGCGCTCATTGAAGCCATTACGAAAATGAGGAGAAACACAGATTTTATGAGTATAATAAAAATACAATGATCCAGACCATAAACCATCATCTAGCCCTCTGCCCATGCTGCCTGGTGCCAAGCCCTTCCTTTGCCGAGTGGCCTCTGGTTGTCCGGTCTCTCTGATTGGTTGCATGCACAGAGCTTCCTTCCAGGGTGCCTGCCTGGCTCTCTGAAGATTCGGTTAAGATTAAATCCAAATGAAACTTAATTTAAACAAACAATCTCAAAGGCCCCCTAGGGGATAATATTTCTTTTTAGGTCAGTGTGTATAAAGGCAAGGCGGGAATTTACCAAATCAGACAGATCGCAGTCCAACTGGGCGCTGCTTTCACAAGTTGCTGGTAGGCTTGATGGCATCTCCCCGTGTGCCTTCCTCAGCAGGAAGCCAGGGCCCTCACTGCCTGCCCCCAGCCTCGGTTTTCATCAACATTGTCTGCCGAGAATATGGCAAAAGATTTTAATTCAGATTTCAGGTGGGAATATGGGGGTGCTGTAAGATTTCAGCCAAGTCAATTTCAATTTCTCCACATCTCTTCATCTTGGCAAGTTTCTGCAAACCATAGATCAATAGGATTTCTCATGTTTCTGGCACTTTCATTTGAGCACCAAAGAGCATAATATTTATGATCTCCGCAGCTGTGTGACATCCTAATTGAGCCTGTGAGGTGTGAGGTGTGAGGCTGGACACCTCGGCTGAGGCAGGGCATCGGAGCATAGGCAGGAAGAGTGTTGTGGGTCAGTCATGGTGGTCGTGCCCGCGACTGCCTGTGCCTGCAGAGTCAGGGCGGACCACGGTTCCCAGGCAGTGAGCAGGGCCTCCCCCATCGGATCGGAGCGAGTGTGCTGGGGAGGATGAGAAGGGAAGACATCTTTGGTGCTGGGTCCCACGCACGGACTTCAGGCTGTGGGCTGTGGTCCACGGAAGAGTTCCAGGGACCCCATCTTTGTGCAATTGTCCCAAATGCAGTGTCCCCTGGAACCTGCCTTGAAGACATAGGATGATCTGAGCACTGTCATCCTGCATGTCTGGGCACCAGGGTCCTGGAGTCTTCCTTTATGACTTCTTTCTCTGCCACAGACAAATGCCACCTGGTGGATCTTGGCGTGAGCAGAGCTTATCAAACTCGATGGCAGTCCTGACCTGCTCTGCCCAGAGGTGCAGAAACTTCCAATGGCACTCAGTCCAGATGCCTGGCAGAGGGACCTTCTTTATGGTTGCTGAGCAACAAACAATGGAAAGACTCAAAAGAACTAACCTAGACCATTTATCTACTCAACATGAAATGTATTCTTTGGTTGCTATTTAGGCCCAACTGAGTAAGTTTACTGACATGGAAACCCATTTTGGCTTAAAACTCTGCTGTCCTTCAGTATAGGTTAACTGTGTCTTTCCCAAAGGTCACATTGGAACCACATTAGAGTCCAGAAATTTTGTCCCTTCAACCTTGTCTGGAGATAAGATTGTTGTTGAAATACTGAACAGAGCAGACCCTGCCAAATGGGACAAAGGAGAGCCCATCCTGCTTCCCCAGGATAGCACGCTTACAGAACCGGAGCTAGCCGGAAGTGGTGGATACAGCTGCAGGACTATGGGTGGGCTGGCCCAACCCCACAAGCCAAGGATGCTAGGAGCCACAGGAGTTGTGGGCAGAGTTCTCCCTGCACTTCAGAGACTGGTTTCAGCTGTGTTTTCACCCCCAGCTTCAGCCATCTGGAACTGTGAGAGAATGTTTTAGGCATTTTAATCCAGCCAGTTTGTGCCACTCTGCTTAGAGGTTATGCAAAAGAGTACACCCACACTCCGTCACCCCACCATCAACCTATCCCAATGCTGGAAACCGCCAGCTCTGTTCAAATTTTGCTTAAAGCAGATGAAAAGAACTGTGTTTCCTCAAAGCCATTTGGAATGAGTTCATATTTAACTGGCAGAGGAAAACCAACCCAACTAACTGAGAATGGGCAAGGGGTCCAAACAGATACAGTCTCCAAGAAGGTGTGCAAATGATCAACAGGTCAGAAAAGATGTTAACATCATATGTAATCCGGAAAATGTGCAGCAAAACCACGAGAAGGGTTAGCTCAGTGAAGCCGCCCAGGGCAAACACGGACATCTGAGTTTACATCTCCAGCACGCACAGAAAGCCATGGCGGTGCTGGGAGGGCGGGGCCGGCTGGGTCCCTGGAGCTCGCTGACTGATCAGCAGCAGGGACGCAGGGAGAGACCCTGTCTCAGGAAATAATGTGGGGACAAACGGAGGAATGCTCTTGGCATTGCCCTCTTGTCTCTATGTGCGTACCCACGTGTTCCCTTACAACAGAAGAGGAGCTTGAAAGTTGTATGTGGGAGGGGAGGGCATGAAGTAGATGAGTTCCTCAAAATATAAAAATGGTTCACCCTAAAACTGAGCCCTTCTGCCTCTGGAGACAAGATGAGCAGGTTGGACCCTCCTGCTCAGTTCCCAATGGCCGAGGCATGGAATGCAGCCACTCAGGGCGAGTGGTAAAGGAAACAGCGCCACAGTGCCCACGAGCCTCTCACTCACCCAGCATGCTCAAGGGCCAAACTCGAGAGCAGTGTTCTGGAGTCCAGAGTGTGTGTGCATGTGTGTGTGAAGGGACGTGGCCACTGGGTGAACCTGCAGCTATAATGAGTAAATTCTGCAGATGGGGTGCTGACAGCCCATAAAGCTACATACTGTGCTGCGGGCCCTGATGAGAGGCGTGCTGAGGCAGGATGGGAGGCGAGAGGATGGACGCTATTTCATCTCGCTTCACTAGTCACACTGTGTGTACCTAAAGTTTATACAACTAAAACCACAAGGAAGCCCCGGCAGCAACACCAACACCACCGGCCAAAGCCCCATGAGAACAAGGTACAGGATGACCACGCTTTCGCTCTAGGCAGAAGAGGACTTCCTCTAGTCAGATCTCTTGTGAGGCACACTTCCTCTGGAGTTACCTCACACACATACCCAAATGCTCACACCCTCCCACAGATGAGCTCCTAGCCTGCCATTTAGACTTCGCAGAGTCTGTGCTGACTTAAAAACCGTGCAGCTTCCGCAGTACAGTGGGGTGGAGACGCAGCTCTTGTGGAGGATTCAGCTCCTGGCATTTACACAGCTGCCTGTCACTCCATTCCAGGGCTGCTGATGTCCCCGTCTGGCCTCTGCACGCAGCATGCCTGCCCCAGCGCACACACAGACGTGTGGGCAAACACTGCCACATATACGATAAAAAGGCAATCACGACAGCAGAGATTTGCCTCCAGAATGCACTCTATTCAAAGAACAAAAACCACCGTGTGTTTGTGCAAAAAGAGGTAATTTAAAGGCAGGCCTGCTGGGGGTCCTCGGGAGATGGCTCAGGACCTTTGTGGTGGATGCGCAGAGAACGGGCTGCTGAACTTTTAAGACAGGCATGT